AAAAACATTTAAATGCATTAATCAAATTGCAAATAAAAAAAATGCAGCTAAAATCTCAAAATGCTGTAGTGGTTAAACTTCAAACAACTTGCAAGTAATAATAAATTTTTTGCTCAATTAATTTTAATTATATTAATAAATATATTAAAAGATCACTCCAATTTCAAATTGAACTTGTTATGAAAAATAACTTAAAAGAGCAAATAAAGATAACTTGAAAGAATAATTAAAGAGAAGTAAGAAAGTATTTAGGGAAAGAAAAGAGATCTTGTTGAAATGTGTATACAAATGAACTAAGGGGGTCTATTTATAGGCAAATAACTCTTTTACAAGATGAAGATAACACTTAGAGATTAGATGGATTAAATCCTAATCCAATCTAATTTACATCAAATCTAAATATAGATAACATGAATGGATATTTACAAAATATTCATAACACTCCCTCTTGAATATCCATTATATTAAGAATATACCTTATTAAAACCTTACAAAGAAAAACACCTCATGGGAAAAAAATCCAAGTGAAGGAAAAAAGTATATAATTCTTTTCAAGAATACGCTATTGAAATACTGTCTCATTAAAAACCTTATAAAAAAAAACCCAACAAGGAAAACCTTGATGAAGGAAAAAAGAGTACAATGTGTATTTTACTCTCCATAACAACTGCATTATTTAAGATCTTTAAAATGGCGCATTTCGATTTTTTGTACCAACTTTTCGAATGTTACAGTAGGAAGGACTTTAGTAAACAAATTTGTTAAATTGTCACTTGAACGAATTTGTTGAACACTACTATCACCCTTTTCTTGAAGATCATAAGTGAAAAGAATTTTGGTAAAATATATTTTGCTCGATCGTTTTTAATGTATCCTTCCTTTAACTGTATTATATAAGTAGTATTATCCTCGTATAATGTTATTAGAATTTCTTTCTTGGTTAACAAACCACACATTTCTTAAATATATTGAGTTACAGATCTTAACCAAACACATTCACTACTTGTCTTATGAATTGCTAAAATTTCTACATGATTAGAATACGTAGCAACTATAGTTTGTTTTATAGAACGCCATAAAATAGTCGTACCTCCATATGTGAATACGTAACTTGTCTAGGATCGAGCTTTATGTGGATCTGATAAATATCTTGTATCTGCATAACCAATTAAATTTGATTTTAATGTATTTGAATAATATAAGCTCATATCTATTATTCCTCGAAGATATCGAAGTATGTGTTTAATTCCATTTCAATGTCTTCGAGTTAGAAAAGAACTATATCTTGATAATAAATTTACAACAAATGATATATCAAGTCGTGTATTGCTAGCAAGATACATTAGTGCTCCAATTGTTCTAAGATATGGTACGTCAAGACTAAAAAGTTCTTCATTATCCTCACGAGGTTGGAAAGAGTCTTTTTCCACATCTAATGATCTTACAACCATTGGTG